TGGTGTGAGAGGGATTCGAACCCGCGACCCTCAGATTACGAGTCGAGTGCCTTAACCACCTGGCCATGCCGGGCAATGAAGATGGTCCCGAGATATCAACTCATTAATTCTTGTTGCTAAGATCTTCCGGTACAGTCTCCTCGATGGGTCATCTGTACGTTAACGAGCTTACAATGCTAAAATCCGGAGTTTGATTCTACGCCTTGACAGAGCGCAGTTAGCCCATATTGTAATTTTGCGCTAAAACAACAACTTCAAGTACATTTATACATATGGATCCTAAAATAATTTATGTAGAAGAAAAAAAAATGGTATGACAATGAGCATAAAAGTACAAAAATAAACGCAAAATTATCTATTTAATAAGAAATTAACACGAACGTATTATACGGGTATGACTAACTAATTACAGAACAGGCTTTAGAAAGCAGAGGACTGGAACTTGTAAGTATGGTGATGATAACTGTAATATAATATTGAGCCAGATTTGCATCGGACAATTTATGGTCCGCGTCCCGTTGCCACAGAAACTTGCTCCGCACCTTGGGGATGTGAATGCATTATATGAGGGATGAACAAATTCCACTATTCGGTTACGACAGAGTAGCTCAAGAGTTGGCGACAGGTGCTGTTTGCTATCTGCTGTCCCTCAAATCAGTTCAAAATTAAGGATAGTTCTGTATAATTTTTTCGTGAAAATTGTGAACAAAAAGAAAAACACTTAATTTTCAGTGAATTGTTTATAGTGTATTCAGGCGTATTCCTGTTCTTTATTAGCACTTCTATCTCGTGGCCCGGCATGGCCAGGTGGCTAGGGAGTTCGACTCGCAATCCCCGTCCCACCAAACATGCTCGCCTTTTCAGCCGTACGGGGCGTTATAAGGATACGGTCAATCCCACTATTCGTTGGTAAAAGAGTAGCCCAAGAGTTGACGGTGGGTGGTGATGACTAGCTACCTTACCTCTAGTCCTACACTGCTGAATTAGGGACGGCTAGCGCAGATAGCCTTCGCGTAGCTTTGCGCGAAATTCAAAACAACCATAGAAACTTCTATCTGAGCTTTTTGTGAAAGGTTTTATTTCACTAGAGCTAAGACATGCTGATATAAACTGCTTACATAGGTCTTGATTGTGTTGCACTGAGTACTAGAAACGAATCGATTAAACTAGAATTTATATTTTCAGAAGAAAGTGCATAAAAAATTTGCATAGAGTGATAGTAGAAAAAAACACACCTATAGTCAATTATCTTTGTAACGTGAGGGGGTGGGACTCCAGTGATTCCGAAATTGAGTATATTTCATTAACTTCTGATTTGTCTTTGTTGAATATGTTTCGTGTATAGAATAACAACTAAATAACGTTTTTTGCATCAATTATCAACTAAGAGGAGCATTAGGAAGGTGAGTAATGCAACAATGTTTAAGGATTGGAATTGTGAATTGTAATTTGCATCTTACTGCAACGGCACATCTCTAAACTGATTGAAGTATATTAAAATCTATACTGTATTTGAACGTATATTTTTGAAGCTTTTTTTTTTTAAATGGCAATCTGAGAATCTTCGCGGGATACAGCATAAAGAAGCTGAATTTCTTTAGGTGTTAAATTAACAATATATATATATATATAGTCTTTCTTGACCCGGTAGGGCCTGGTGGTTAAGGCGCTCGACTCGCAATCTACGGGTTGCGAGTTCGAATCCCTTCACCGAATATGCTCGCCCTTTCAGCCCTATGAGGGTTATGATACGACAGTAAAGGATTAGCCCAAGAATTCCCTACAGTCTATCACTTTTAAATGGCCCGGCATGGCCAGGTGGTTAGGGTACTCGACTCGCAATCTGCTGGTCGCGGGTTCGAATCCCCGACCCACCAAACAT